CAGGGTTCCCGAAGGTTGGTCTGAACAGTCGAACCTGGGAGCTGGAAAGCACGTGTCTCCGTCTCTCACTCTCACTTTCACTCTGTGTCCGTCGGAGGTGTCCGCCCAGTACATCTCGAAGGTGACGGACATCGAAGCTCGAAACAGGGAGTGTCCCCAGCGCAAATGCGTTGGGGCCCCGGCGGATGCCTCTTGCAAAAAAAAAAAAACCTGGCGAAACGCGACGAGCAACTGAGCCGAAGGCCGGCCGACGAGTTCGAAAATCTGCTCCACCCCGTCTTTCAGGAGGATGCCGGGGCCAAAGAAGGCCGTGGGCATCTGGACCCCTCAGAGGCGCTCTCCTTGGGAGGCTATGAGGCTATGCGTGTGCTGAGGAGTGGATCTTGATCCTCCTTGGGGGAATCCTTGGGGCAATCGTGGGGATCATGCAGGCGCGCCTGCCGTGCACTCGTGCACTCTCCTCTCCGCCTTTTCTGGCTTTTGGGTTTTGCCCCTGCCAGGTCTACTGCCTCTCCGGCTGAGCTGGCAAGCTTTCATTCTCCTCAGTTACCGAAATGCTTTGAAAAACGTCTCTCTTGGAGCCTCTGTTCTCCATAATACTCGCAGTGGGAGGCAGTTTAACTTGCAAGTTGCCTGCCAAAGGCAAGCAAGCGACCTAGGAAACGCCTAGGGCCCCAGGCCAATTCGGGGGTTGTTCTGAAGTACCGGTACATCCAACCCAAAGTCATGAAAGCGGAGATGGTAGTCATGCGACTGGAACCTCCGATATCCAAGTGCACAACTCTGTCGTCGTTTGCAAGTGTTTATCTGCGTAGAAACAGACAGAGCTGCAACACGGCATCATTCAATCATGCTCCTCCAGCTCCCATGATGGGCCTTCGCAGACTGACACACCGCTAGAGGTAGTGGGAAATTGACAGGCTCTCGCCTTGCAGTATCGAAGCGGAGGGCGGGGAGCTGTCACCTCACTACCGCTACGACGACGGCTCGCAGTGCGAATCCTGCTCCTGCCACCGCAACGGCATCTATGCCTGCTGCCGTCCAAACTGCGGCGACACCACAACGACGACGTGGCCATCCCGCTTGCAAACGCAGTCCCACCAATTTGTTCCGGACTTCCCTGAAGCAGCTGCAGCTCTGGAAAAATCTCGCTGGCAAAGAGCTGCAGCTTCTCACAACTTGTTACGACCCAGCGGTAAGAGGCTAAAGCACACAGGCATTGAAAACTGGTGGCATGAGGTGGCAACATGCACATTGTCATTCAGTTGGCTTAGACTAAGCCCAAGCACCAACTGCAAGAAAGAGATGTGGCAATTCATCTCAGTTCATCAAATCAGTGGGGGAGGTACTTGCCCAGATATTGAGGTGTTTCCTGTGGTGCCAGCTCGGCGCGGCGACCACCCCTCTCGCCACACCAACCTGCAAACTCATCACAGTGCTGCGCACAGGCATCCAGCCTTGTTTGACCTCGTTTCCAAGTAGATTGATAAAGGGCAATGTGGCATCTGAATGGAATTCAGACAACAGGAACAGCAGCAGCGGCGCTGACAAAGCCGGAGCGACAAATATACCACGATTGAGCAGGAATAGAACAGTATATAATTAATGGGGTCTCAAGCAGTAGCAGTAGCAGCCATGGGCCATGGCCATAAAGGCCAGCGCAAGCATCGTGCAATTCTCATCTTCGTCGTCAAGCCGGATACTTTCGAAGAGCTCCCTGGGATGGCCCAAAAGAAAATAGCACGCCCGGGATGCCTGGGATGGGATTCCCTTCCGGTCCCGACGGGCCGTGCCCCGGCTTCGCGCGAAGCGTCGCAAAAAGGAGATGGATGTGTACGTGCCTTGGTGTGCAGATACTCAAGCGAGGACCAAGAGGCGATAGGTTCCAAATTGTTAGTGCAAGTGAAAAAGCATTCAGCAATCGCGAAGCATTGTTCGCTCGCGTGTGAGACAGCTGGCTCGCTGGAATCAGCTTGTGTTTTCTAGCATCATGGCCTTGACCGGTGTTGTGAAGAAGTATGACAATGCAAAGGCCTGCCGTGCCCAGTGCAACAGAGCACGCATCACGACTCCCCACACAAGTGTGCCTGCAGGGCTTCGGATTCATCGTTCCAACTGGATCCCGCACGGACCTGTTCCGCGTTGCTGCAAGTGCCAGCATGCTCTGCGCGGTTTGTTGCGGAAGTATCTCCAGTCTGCTTGCGAGGACCTATTCGTTCGGTGCACGGATGTTATTGGTGGAACACTGCAGGAGGGAGACAAGGCAGGTGGTGCTTTGCTTGCTTGCCCTGGCGCTTGTGTCGCTTGGGAATCATGTTTCATGTGTGTTGTAACATCAACCTCAAGGGGTTATGAAACGCAAGATGTTCATTCTTGCTAAGTATCAAAGCAGTGCGAGGTCACTTTCGACGAAGGCCTGAACGAGCGCACGGGCAAACCCAAGGCTTTCCGCGTCGCCGGAGGATCTGGACCTGCACCAGGCATCCTGTTCAAGTGCCTGAGGCCCTAATCCCCGATCCCGAGTGCCATGGGTCTGCAGGTGGCAAAGGAGATCCGAGAGACGGAAAACAAGGTGGACATGTGGCATGCACAGAGTCAATCTTTCAGTTACGTCTCGTTTGATCTCCTTAGTGGCAAGGGAGGAAAGGGCAAGACAGGCAACAAGGGCAAGGGAGGAGGCCACTGTCTCGAAGAGGTTTCTGAGTCTATCACTGAATTCGTGTGCCTTTAGCACAAGTGTAAGTCTTTGAAAAAAGCAGCTTCCAGGACAGTCTTTGGTGGGTTCTGTCGCACATATTCATCCCAAAACCCTCAAATCCAGAACCTCAAGCCCGCAACCTCTGAACAGAGGCTTTGTTGCCGGACCGGTTCCCGGTGGCTGCGGCTGCAGCCCTTGGGGCAGCCCGGCTCCTTGCGGCTTGATGCTAGGCGTCTGCCTCAGGTATGTTTTTAGATGAACAAGCAAGCAAATGTAGCGTAGATATAAACAATACAGATATAGATATCATCTGTTCCATGTTATCCTATGCTGATCTTTCTGTCCATCCATCAATCTATAATCTATTTGCCTATCTATCTATGTTTCTTTCCCCATGAGAGTATACCTATGACCGATTATGTGTGTACGCGCGTATAGCACTTATCCCGGCCGAGGTGGGGGCTGCGGCCTTGGCGCAGGCTTCCTCGGCATGGCGTAACTTTGTCAGTTTGCCCTAGGCGCAGATCCAGGGCAATTTGTCTTCATCACTCGCCAGGAAAGGCCGCACCCATGCCGGGTGGCTGTGGCATCAAGTCCGGCGTGGTCAAGTTCCTCATCTCGCCATGAAGACCTTGTGTTAGGGGTGGAATCGTGTCTCATCGGGCTCATCGGCAGATTTCTGAGGTTCTTCCACGATGAGAAAGGTTTTGGCTTCATCAAGCAGAATGGTGGTGGCAATGACCTCTTCGTCCATCGTGGCTTATCTTGCACAGTGTGGTTTGAGCATTGGGAAATGGCTGTTTGGCGTTCTGCTTCTTAAGCCTGAAAGCATTTTTGATGAGGCAGCGATGTGATCGACGCCCCGCTGAATGAGGGGGATCATGTGCAGTACAGCGAGGTGGTTGACAAGAGAAGCGGGAGAATGAAGGCGCACCAGGTCACTGGCGGCACAGGAGCACGCAAGCCCCCTCAGAAAAAAGGCGCAGGAAAGGGTGGCAAGGGTAAGGGAGGCAAAGGAAGTGTGCCTACCGAGCCGAGCCTTCCCAATCCTGGCATGGCTATGATGGCTATGGGTTGCGGCTGTGGAGGTTCTGGGGGTTGCGGAGGTGGCTGCGGTGGCTGCGGACAGCGCATGGGAGGTTGCAGCGGCAACTGCGGAAGTCTGCAGATGAGCGGGAACAGCTGCAAGGCCCCGCGGCCGCGTGAAGACCGACATACATCACAGCTGGAGTTCCTTTAAGGTCAAGAGGTTGACATCCAGAACCATCAAGAAACCAGCTTTGAGGCTGGCAGCTCCAACATGCCGGGCAGTTGCTGTGGCCTTGTCGAGACCCCAGCAATATCAGCAGCCCCGGAGTCTTTCCAAAGACGACTCCGGCGTTGTCGTTCGTGGCCTGATCCATGCACCCTCTCTTATTTAATGTGCAGACGTGCCTTCTTCGCATGTTTGAATCCAGACATGTGCATGTGTTTGTATGTGAGCATCCATTTCGCGTACAGAGACGTGCAATCGGAAAGCTTCATAGCTTTTTTGGTTCACTCAATTTCTTCTGCATGACCCTTTCTGGCCCACTCTGTACTCGCGGGTCGCCTTGATCCGACTTTGTGCCCAGGCTTGCCCGCCGTGCCCCACCCGGGCAACGCCAGGGTTGCGGGGCCTTCCGGTCCTTCTGGGCAAGAAGGCGGACGATTTGAGTTTCTCACGGTGCTTTTGCCCTTGCCACATTGACATGGTCCTGTCTTGCAGACGTGGGCGCCGATTGTGCGCCCCATCGCCGTCAAGATTCCCGGCCAAGCTGCATGCTTAGCAACATCTCGGAGGGCACGTCATGTGTTGAGTCGTTTTCTGGGAAACTTGTGCCAACTTTCTGTGACAGATGGAGAAGATCGTGGAGAAGATTCCGGAGCCCTGCCCCGCTGCGCACCCAGCATGTCACCCATGTGCCACCTCTCCCCGTTTCCTCGGTTCAGCGGAGAAGGCACCGGTCTGTAAGGAATGTCCGTGGAAGCCATAGTGGCTGATCCTTTCTGTTGGCCGCTCCTGAGCCTTCTCGGAATGCATGCTGGGTCGAGAAGGTCCCACAGCTCATGAAGACAGTGAAGATGCCTGATGCTGTCGCACACCCAGCATTTCAACCGACGTCCATCTTCAGCCTTTGTGCTCGTGATGCCTTGTAGCCGGATGAGGTTGTCCAGGGGGTTTGTGCATTCAATGTTGTACTTGCATGTTTGCAGGCCTCCACAGGCAAGGCAGCAAAGAAGAGGCTGCGCACGGAGCTCAGTGCGGGTGAGGCACTGAAGCGAATGCTGGAGAAAACCCAGCTTCGTTGCCGTTTACCAAGCAAAAGCACAAGCTCGGCAGCCATCTTTCCTCCCAAAAATGGCGCCCTGTCCCAAGCCACCCACATTGCAGCGCTCGCCATCACACGAACTGCAAACCTGTACACTAGAGTTGAAACTCAACGGCCATCCACCGGCCTCGCAAAAGCAAATTAGTCAGGGAAAACAGACGTGGAAATCCACGAAAACCTAATTGCTGGCTCATAAAAAAAACAAAAAGCGATTCCAGTACGCGCACAAGCTCATAATTGCAGAACAGTCCCTCCGCCGGCTCATGAATCTTGCGTTTCCTGTATTAGCACGGAAGCTCTAGGACAGTCCAGCAGCCGGTTTGTGAATGCGTCGGTTCCTGTAGTAGCTAGGTCAACTGTGACTAGTGGAAGTAGGACGGCACGGAAATCAGCCGGCTTACGTAAACCTGGATGCCGGTATAAAGCCAGCACTGAGGAGCAAAGCAAGTCCTGCCTTGAGCTCTGAAGATCAACGAAGGTCATGACTTACAAACATCGGCTCATGAAATCTTCGTTTCCTGACTGGAAATCTATGAGAATCTCACTGGCTCACGAACAGTGACAGTAGTGCAAACTACTCGTAACTAAAACATTTCGCCGGCTCGTGAAACCTTGTTGTCCGTTACAAACGCCACAGCTCCAAGCACATCGCGGAACTGTCTTGGAAGAAGTTTAAACTTGAAACTCCAAATCTACCCGCGTGCATCCTTGGAAAAAGCTCCCAGCTTTCATGGATGAGTGTGTGCTGAGTCCGTGGAGGTCCTTAGCGATAGGAATCCAAGTGCCGAGGCATGGAACGCGGCTACTGGGGGGTCGAGTGAGAGGCCGTGGGATTTCGTGAACTCTTTACAAGCGACATGGTCTGAGCTGATTTTCAGGCCCCGACTTCGTACAGGCCAGGCCTCCAGCTTGCACGCGTGCTGGAACAGCATGTGAAGAATGCGCGGCTTTGTTGCATTCAGGATGAAGAGTGAGCAGCCAACGCTGCTGGGCATTGCCTGGTATGGACAGTCACAAAAATATTTTAGAAAAAACTATACAAAAAGATTGCCATTAACGTCTTCCAGCGGCCTTCGCGCTCGAGAAGGACCGGGATGTTGGCCCTTGGATTCCCACTGCTCCAGTGCAGGTAGAAGAAGAGAGTTAGAGACAGAGATGGAGAGGTGGAGAGACAGAACGACAGAGAGATAGAGAAAGAGACACATACATCTTTGTAGATTCACATACATGCGTATATGTATATGCATGTGCATTTGTGTGCGTATGTGTAAGTGTATGTGTGTATATGCATGTATACGTTTATGTATGTGTATATGTATAGTATGTACATGTTCATGTACATGTACACATACACATACCAGGCACATGTAATTATTCTTATATGTAATGTTGAACCCAATAGATAGATAGATAGATAGATGTACATGCATATGTTGTGCACAATGTGTACTTGCATCTGTATGTGTGTGTATATGTGTGCGTGTCTGTGAATGGAAGAGCATCATGACAAGTAGTTATCCATGATAGGCGTCCAGAAACCCCTGTGTCTAGCCTATCGGTTTTGGGATACGGTCCTTTTCGTAGACCCTGTCCGCCCTCCATGCGCACACCTATCCGTGTCGCCTGTCCGCAACTAGATAGTATGACCAGGACCTATCTGGACGTTTGAATTGTGGAGGAGGTCGCTGCCAGTGCTCAGCCAACATGCGCCTGCCTAAAAATCCAACCTGGTAGGGGCAATGGACCCGACTCCTGTCGAACATGTGCGGCTCTGAGGGGGCTCGTCTGCCTTCTGTACGTTCAAAAGAGAAGATCCGACATGAAATTCATGGGCTCAATCCGTTCATGGATGGCCTTTTCGGACAGTGGTGGGATGATCGGTGTAGTTGTCCGCATTTCTGCAACTGTTAACTAACTGCTAGCACGCTGTAACCAGGTGGCACCGAATTCGGCAACGAGCATACGAAAAGGCTGGGCCACTGTGGACGACCTGTAATTACGCATATTGTTCTGTGATTCGCCTGATATGCTGCGTGCAAAGCATTCGAATGAGCTCGACCAGGTCTCAGGGACGCAGGGCCCAACGAAGGCCGAACCGATCTCACACAGCGTCGCTAGCTTTTGTTTCTTTAGATGTGAGTCTTCCGGGGTTCGAAGGGTGCAGTATTCACGGCTTTTTTTCGGCAGGCCCGAGCAGCTCCTTGATGCCTGCCAACTGCCTGATTTGGCGGAGGAAGATCAGCGGCCAATGCCGCTGGATGAGAGCAAGAAACAGAAAAAAATTAGAAAAAAACACAAAAAGCATGAGCACACATCGTGCACGTGTGCCGCGACCTCAGCTCTTTCGTGGATCGTGCAGAATCGAGAGACGCTGAGAACTTGGAGCATCCGCAACGGCCAGGCTGTCTTCCAGAAATAGCCTTCGCCTGGCTGCTTTCTCCTTGCAGAAGGAGACCGGATGTTTGGCGCCTGAATTCCTATTGCTTGTTTGCAGCAAGAGAGACCGGAAAGAACGAGAGCGAGATCGAGACAGCGACCTGCGGACGGACAGACGGCATGTCGAGGGGGCAAAATATGCCGTACTTGTATCCCCCTAGATCGAACTCCTCCCCGCCAAAGTAGCCTTTTGTCGCAGAACCCTGGGCATGGCTTCTTCGTCTTGGTGTTCGCCCGGATCTTGGATTCTTACACCCTTCTGTCAATAATCCTTCTCGGATGCACGGGCGTCTATCTGGGATGACAGCATGACGACCGCGTCAGGGCCCATCATCAGCGTGATTGGGCTGAGCGCTCCGGCCTGGCCCTTATGGGGTCTCTCCATTTCGGGGACCGGTGGGTGAGTATTTGCATTTTGCCGAGAACTATTCTGCAAGTTGATGCAGCGCCTGCATCGTCGAGATGTAGATGGCACATGAATGACTCTCCAGGTGGCCTCCTGCAGCTCATAGCCTTCAACAATCTTTCTGACGAGGGCCGCGCAATCTTCCTCCCGGCCACAGGTCGTAACTTCAGTGATGTTGAGAGGTTTGCTGTTCTCCAGACCAGGACTTCTTTGCATAGCTCCTTACTTTTACCGTCGGTCCACAGCACGGAAGGGCCCTGGGCCAATCCAGAGCCTGAGACGCTGTTGCTCTTTTGGAGGCTTCCTGCTGGGCATTGTGACGAACTGGTTCCTCCCTCAGAGGCTACAGGTGAAGTCGCAGAGCGCTCTGCGACTCTGAGATTGTCCAGGCTGGCCATCCTCATGGTCTTCAAGCCTTGCTTCCCAACACCCATCCGGACAGAGAAGAGAGAGAAGAGAGGCGAGGGGTTTGGGAATGTGAGATTGGATCGCTTGGAGCTCGCAGGATCTGTGGCTGGCACATCTGCAACATCCAGGCCCTGGCATCAGAGTCGTAGAGCCGCAGCAGGCGTGTGCTGATCTCAGGGTCTCTTCCTGAAGCGACAGCCTGCGCCATCCTCGGATCGCTCGTAGACTCGAGGGGTCGCTTGGAGACACACAGCGCCTCGCTCCAGGAGGTCTGCGTGCTCTATGCCAAGATGTTGAAGGAGAGCTGTTCGGATTTGTTGTTCCTTGCGAGTCAGGAGTGCTAAGGTGCTACCGAATACTGCATCCCTCTGTCCACGGGTGCAGGAGAACTTCCTCTCCTTCAACAAGATCATCGGCAGCTTGGCCGCATGGGGAAAGTCAAACCCGGGCCACGCTTTCGATCCCGAGGCTATCTGCAGACGCTCCCCGAGTGCTGTCCTGAAGTCTGGGTTGTGCAGATTCCGTGTCGGAGACAGCGCCCAGAGCCAGCAAAGCAAAGCAGCTTGAACGACAAGCTACCCTGAGGCTTTGGGAGAAGCTGAAGGCAGCGTATGTGGCACACTCCACGGCCGTGCTTCGGGAGACCCTAGGCGGGCCCCACGCACTGACAAGACCTCTGCAGCACCTTGAGGATTTACAGTTCAGGTGCATTGAGGTTTTCACCTTGTGGGGCTTGAAGAGTTTAGGGATTGGCATGGTAGGGTATATTCGGGTGCTAGGGATTAGGGCTGAGGGCTTTGTCGTTCAAGTTCTTTAGGAGCATCGCTGCTACCACTGCCTACGACGATCATGCCGACGACCAGGACGACGACAACAGCAACCATCGTCGCAACTAGATGAGAGCGACCGCTTTAGCGGCCGCAGCTTACCCAGTACAGTAGGATCTTGAGCTGCAGATATACTCGTCGTCGCCTCCACCTAATCATCGTCATCATCATCAGCAATGATCATCGCGCCGAGCGCGCGACCAGGTCATATGAGGGTGACGGGCCCTTGCCTCCTTTAGGGATTCATGGGCCTTTGGCCAGGCTCAGCCACCTGGTTCGCGCAGTGGACCATCGGCAAAGAGGGGCACCGGCCTAAAGAGCCGGGCTGGTGCGCCTCGTTCCCTTCGCCGTTTTTGTTTGTGTTCTGAGCCTGAGGTACAGGGACTTGGAAGAGGACCTCAAGGCCCGGACCTTCACGGGATTAGCGGGGAGTGTTGAGAGTCTGAGAGTCTGAGTTATTGCTGCCTCTTCTGCAGAGAGGTAGCCATGGTCGACGGCCTCTACCGCGCGCATCGTCTTCACAAGGCCCCAGTTCCGGGAAGATCCTCGGCCGACTGTTGCAAAGGAGAGAATGACTTATAATGTATGTTTACAATGTCGTGAATTCGGCCATACTTTTGCTTGCCGGGCACACGGCACACGGTGGACTACAGCTCAGTGTTTGAGAGCGTGATGATCATATGCATATATGTATATATATATATATTCATATATTCGTCTTCTTTCGAACAAGCTTGATTGACCCTGGAAAGCTTCATGCATTACACATGCAGCGGGTTCGTCTCTGCGTCTGCATTGTAGTATCATGCGGCCTTGATTTCGTATCCTTGCTGGTCCTGACTGCGTCTGAAGGCATGCATGCATCCACCGGAGCGTCCTGCTGTCTCCAGACATGAAAGCAGAATCCCTTGATTCCTCTAATTCGCAATGTCATGATTTTTATCAACACTACCACCACTGCTACCACCACTGCTCCTGTAACACTAATTTCAGCCCTAATCCCATTTCCCACTTACCTTGCAGAGTAGACTTGAAAGGCCCCAGCTACCGTAGCCATCCTGGGGGCAGATGTCACAGGTCGTCACGCACATTTTCCGTCAGGGCCTTGCAAGGAAGGACAGGATTGTCCATGGATTGTTGAATCAGAGCCATCATAGCTGTCGTACAACTCATACCCAAGGCATGAGTCAGGGTTCCCGAAGGTTGGTCTGAACAGTCGAACCTGGGAGCTGGAAAGCACGTGTCTCCGTCTCTCACTCTCACTTTCATTCTGTGTCCGTCGGAGGTGTCCGCCCAGTACATCTCGAAGGTGACGGACATCGAAGCTCGAAACAGGGAGTGTCTCCAGCGCATGCGGGGGCCCCGTGCCGTGCCAGCGTGCAAAAAAAACCTGGCGAAACGCGACGAGCAACTGAGCCGAAGGCCGGCCGACGAGTTCGAAAATCTGCTCCACCCCGTCTTTCAGGAGGATGCCGGGGCCAAAGAAGGCCGTGGGCATCTGGACCCCTCAGAGGCGCTCTCCTTGGGAGGCTATGAGGCTATGCGTGTGCTGAGGAGTGGATCTTGATCCTCCTTGGGGGAATCCTTGGGGCAATCGTGGGGATCATGCAGGCGCGCCTGCCGTGCACTCGTGCACTCTCCTCTCCGCCTTTTCTGGCTTTTGGGTTTTGCCCCTGCCAGGTCTACTGCCTCTCCGGCTGAGCTGGCAAGCTTTCATTCTCCTCAGTTACCGAAATGCTTTGAAAAACGTCTCTCTTGGAGCCTCTGTTCTCCATAATACTCGCAGTGGGAGCCAGTTTAACTTGCAAGTTGCCTGCCAAAGGCAAGCAAGCGACCTAGGAAACGCCCAGGGCCCCAGGCCAATTCGGGGGTTGTTCTGAAGTACCGGTACATCCAACCCAAAGTCATGAAAGCGGAGATGGTAGTCATGCGACTGGAACCTCCGATATCCAAGTGCACAACTCTGTCGTCGTTTGCAAGTGTTTATCTGCGTAGAAACAGACAGAGCTGCAACACGGCATCATTCAATCATGCTCCTCCAGCTCCCATGATGGGCCTTCGCAGACTGACACACCGCTAGAGGTAGTGGGAAATTGACAGGCTCTCGCCTTGCAGTATCGAAGCGGAGGGCGGGGAGCTGCCACCTCACTACCGCTACGACGACGGCTCGCAGTGCGAATCCTGCTCCTGCCACCGCAACGGCATCTATGCCTGCTGCCGTCCAAACTGCGGCGACACCACAACGACGACGTGGCCATCCCGCTTGCAAACGCAGTCCCACCAATTTGTTCCGGACTTCCCTGAAGCAGCTGCAGCTCTGGAAAAATCTCGCTGGCAAAGAGCTGCAGCTTCTCACAACTTGTTACGACCCAGCGGTAAGAGGCTAAAGCACACAGGCATTGAAAACTGGTGGCATGAGGTGGCAACATGCACATTGTCATTCAGTTGGCTTAGACTAAGCCCAAGCACCAACTGCAAGAAAGAGATGTGGCAATTCATCTCAGTTCATCAAATCAGTGGGGGAGGTACTTGCCCAGATATTGAGGTGTTTCCTGTGGTGCCAGCTCGGCGCGGCGACCACCCCTCTCGCCACACCAACCTGCAAACTCATCACAGTGCTGCGCACAGGCATCCAGCCTTGTTTGACCTCGTTTCCAAGTAGATTGATAAAGGGCAATGTGGCATCTGAATGGAATTCAGACAACAGGAACAGCAGCAGCGGCGCTGACAAAGCCGGAGCGACAAATATACCACGATTGAGCAGGAATAGAACAGTATATAATTAATGGGGTCTCAAGCAGTAGCAGTAGCAGCCATGGGCCATGGCCATAAAGGCCAGCGCAAGCATCGTGCAATTCTCATCTTCGTCGTCAAGCCGGATACTTTCGAAGAGCTCCCTGGGATGGCCCAAAAGAAAAGAGCACGCCCGGGATGCCTGGGATGGGATTCCCTTCCGGTCCCGACGGGCCGTGCCCCGGCTTCGCGCGAAGCGTCGCAAAAAGGAGATGGATGTGTACGTGCCTTGGTGTGCAGATACTCAAGCGAGGACCAAGAGGCGATAGGTTCCAAATTGTTAGTGCAAGTGAAAAAGCATTCAGCAATCGCGAAGCATTGTTCGCTCGCGTGTGAGACAGCTGGCTCGCTGGAATCAGCTTGTGTTTTCTAGCATCATGGCCTTGACCGGTGTTGTGAAGAAGTATGACAATGCAAAGGCCTGCCGCCAGTGCAACAGAGCACGCATCACGACTCCCCACACAAGTGTGCCTGCAGGGCTTCGGATTCATCGTTCCAACTGGATCCCGCACGGACCTGTTCCGCGTTGCTGCAAGTGCCAGCATGCTCTGCGCGGTTTGTTGCGGAAGTATCTCCAGTCTGCTTGCGAGGACCTATTCGTTCGGTGCACGGATGTTATTGGTGGAACACTGCAGGAGGGAGACAAGGCAGGTGGTGCTTTGCTTGCTTGCCCTGGCGCTTGTGTCGCTTGGGAATCATGTTTCATGTGTGTTGTAACATCAACCTCAAGGGGTTATGAAACGCAAGATGTTCATTCTTGCTAAGTATCAAAGCAGTGCGAGGTCACTTTCGACGAAGGCCTGAACGAGCGCACGGGCAAACCCAAGGCTTTCCGCGTCGCCGGAGGATCTGGACCTGCACCAGGCATCCTGTTCAAGTGCCTGAGGCCCTAATCCCCGATCCCGAGTGCCATGGGTCTGCAGGTGGCAAAGGAGATCCGAGAGACGGAAAACAAGGTGGACATGTGGCATGCACAGAGTCAATCTTTCAGTTACGTCTCGTTTGATCTCCTTAGTGCCACAGGTGGCAAGGGAGGAAAGGGCAAGACAGGCAACAAGGGCAAGGGAGGAGGCCACTGTCTCGAAGAGGTTTCTGAGTCTATCACTGAATTCGTGTGCCTTTAGCACAAGTGTAAGTCTTTGAAAAAAGCAGCTTCCAGGACAGTCTTTGGTGGGTTCTGTCGCACATATTCATCCCAAAACCCTCAAATCCAGAACCTCAAGCCCGCAACCTCTGAACAGAGGCTTTGTTGCCGGACCGGTTCCCGGTGGCTGCGGCTGCAGCCCTTGGGGCAGCCCGGCTCCTTGCGGCTTGATGCTAGGCGTCTGCCTCAGGTATGTTTTTAGATGAACAAGCAAGCAAATGTAGCGTAGATATAAACAATACAGATATAGATATCATCTGTTCCATGTTATCCTATGCTGATCTTTCTGTCCATCCATCAATCTATAATCTATTTGCCTATCTATCTATGTTTCTTTCCCCATGAGAGTATACCTATGACCGATTATGTGTGTACGCGCGTATAGCACTTATCCCGGCCGAGGTGGGGGCTGCGGCCTTGGCGCAGGCTTCCTCGGCATGGCGTAACTTTGTCAGTTTGCCCTAGGCGCAGATCCAGGGCAATTTGTCTTCATCACTCGCCAGGAAAGGCCGCACCCATGCCGGGTGGCTGTGGCATCAAGTCCGGCGTGGTCAAGTTCCTCATCTCGCCATGAAGACCTTGTGTTAGGGGTGGAATCGTGTCTCATCGGGCTCATCGGCAGATTTCTGAGGTTCTTCCACGATGAGAAAGGTTTTGGCTTCATCAAGCAGAATGGTGGTGGCAATGACCTCTTCGTCCATCGTGGCTTATCTTGCACAGTGTGGTTTGAGCATTGGGAAATGGCTGTTTGGCGTTCTGCTTCTTAAGCCTGAAAGCATTTTTGATGAGGCAGCGATGTGATCGACGCCCCGCTGAATGAGGGGGATCATGTGCAGTACAGCGAGGTGGTTGACAAGAGAAGCGGGAGAATGAAGGCGCACCAGGTCACTGGCGGCACAGGAGCACGCAAGCCCCCTCAGAAAAAAGGCGCAGGAAAGGGTGGCAAGGGTAAGGGAGGCAAAGGAAGTGTGCCTACCGAGCCGAGCCTTCCCAATCCTGGCATGGCTATGATGGCTATGGGTTGCGGCTGTGGAGGTTCTGGGGGTTGCGGAGGTGGCTGCGGTGGCTGCGGACAGCGCATGGGAGGTTGCAGCGGCAACTGCGGAAGTCTGCAGATGAGCGGGAACAGCTGCAAGGCCCCGCGGCCGCGTGAAGACCGACATACATCACAGCTGGAGTTCCTTTAAGGTCAAGAGGTTGACATCCAGAACCATCAAGAAACCAGCTTTGAGGCTGGCAGCTCCAACATGCCGGGCAGTTGCTGTGGCCGTGTCGAGACCCCAGCAATATCAGCAGCCCCGGAGTCTTTCCAAAGACGACTCCGGCGTTGTCGTTCGTGGCCTGATCCATGCACCCTCTCTTATTTAATGTGCAGACGTGCCTTCTTCGCATGTTTGAATCCAGACATGTGCATGTGTTTGTATGTGAGCATCCATTTCGCGTACAGAGACGTGCAATCGGAAAGCTTCATAGCTTTTTGGGTTCACTCAATTTCTTCTGCATGACCCTTTCTGGCCCACTCTGTACTCGCGGGTCGCCTTGATCCGACTTTGTGCCCAGGCTTGCCCGCCGTGCCCCACCCGGGCAACGCCAGGGTTGCGGGGCCTCCCGGTCCTTCTGGGCAAGAAGGCGGACGATTTGAGTTTCTCACGGTGCTTTTGCCCTTGCCACATTGACATGGTCCTGTCTTGCAGACGTGGGCGCCGATTGAGCGCCCCATCGCCGTCAAGATTCCCGGCCAAGCTGCATGCTTAGCAACATCTCGGAGGGCACGTCATGTGTTGAGTCGTTTTCTGGGAAACTTGTGCCAAATTTCTGTGACAGATGGAGAAGATCGTGGAGAAGATTCCGGAGCCCTGCCCCGCTGCGCACCCAGCATGTCACCCATGTGCCACCTCTCCCCGTTTCCTCGGTTCAGCGGAGAAGGCACCGGTCTGTAAAGAATGTCCGTGGAAGCCATAGTGGCTGATCCTTTCTGTTGGCCGCTCCTGAGCCTTCTCGGAATGCATGCTGGGTCGAGAAGGTCCCACAGCTCATGAAGACAGTGAAGATGCCTGATGCTGTCGCACACCCAGCATTTCAACCGACGTCCATCTTCAGCCTTTGTGCTCGTGATGCCTTGTAGCCGGATGAGGTTGTCCAGGGGGTTTGTGCATTCAATGTTGTACTTGCATGTTTGCAGGCCTCCACAGGCAAGGCAGCAAAGAAGAGGCTGCGCACGGAGCTCAGTGCGGGTGAGGCACTGAAGCGAATGCTGGAGAAAACCCAGCTTCGTTGCCGTTTACCAAGCAAAAGCACAAGCTCGGCAGCCATCTTTCCTCCCAAAAATGGCGCCCTGTCCCAAGCCACCCACATTGCAGCGCTCGCCATCACACGAACTGCAAACCTGTACACTAGAGTTGAAACTCAACGGCCATCCACCGGCCTCGCAAAAGCAAATTAGTCAGGGAAAACAGACGTGGAAATCCACGAAAACCTAATTGCTGGCTCATAAAAAAAACAAAAAGCGATTCCAGTACGCGCACAAGCTCATAATTGCAGAACAGTCCCTCCGCCGGCTCATGAATCTTGCGTTTCCTGTATTAGCACGGAAGCTCTAGGACAGTCCAGCAGCCGGTTTGTGAATGCGTCGGTTCCTGTAGTAGCTAGGTCAACTGTGACTAGTGGAAGTAGGACGGCACGGAAATCAGCCGGCTTACGTAAACCTGGATGCCGGTATAAAGCCAGCACTGAGGAGCAAAGCAAGTCCTGCCTTGAGCTCTGA